ATAGGAAAACGTTGGGACCTGAGTTAGTGCGAGAGACGGAGGACACAGTCAGATTAATCCGTGACCGTCTGAAAGAGGCATTTGATACGCATAAATCTTATACAGATCAAAGAAGGAAGGATATACAGTTTGAAGTGGGAGATCGGGTCTTTTTGAAAGTTTCACCCTGGAAGAAAGTATTGAGATTCGGGCGTAAGGGTAAATTGAGTCCAAGATTTATTGGACCATTTCGTATCTTGAAGAGGGTAGGACCTGTTGCATATCAGCTTGAGTTGCCTTCTGAGCTAAGTCGTATTCATGATGTCTTTCATGTATCAATGTTGAGGAGATACAGTCCAGATCCAGGTCACATTATTCAGGTTGAAGAAGTAGAGCTGAGACCTGATTTGTCATATGAAGAGGAGCCCATTCAGATCTTAGAGAGAGATGAACGAGTTCTTCGGAATAGACGAATTCCAATGGTCAAAGTTCAGTGGAGTAATCGAGGCCCCTCAGAAGCTACTTGGGAGACATTGGAGTCAATGGAGGCTCAATTTCCTCAACTATTCTCATAAGGTAAATTTTGAGGACGAAATTTCTTGTAGAGGGGGAGAATTGTAACAACCCGAATATTTACAAAATAATATTAATTGAAATTGGAGGTAAATTGTGAAAATGGGTGAAATTAAGTGACTAAATTAAAATTTATAGAAACTTGTATGCCATTTTCGAAGTAAAGGAAATTCAGGGACCAAGCCCTGAATTTCCCCTAAAATTGTCGGTAGGCTTGATGATTTAAGCGTGATTTCTGATTTACAATCAGAAATCACAAATGCTATTCCTTCAATTTTCTTCCTCTCACACCTCCACTTTCAAGTCCGATCCAAAGGTCGTCCGAATTTCGATCGTTGTTTTGAAACCACCGTTGTGTTCATCATCGAGCGAGAAACAAACCCTTCAAATTAATTGAAGCGAAACGCGACCAAACGTCGGGAATTTCCAGTCAAAGTAGCGACAGTTTTGTTAGCTCTATTGCCGAGAAAATCTTAAATTCACCGCTGATCGTTGCTCCGTTTACGACACCTCCCGCACCATCGTGTTCCTTGTGCCGTTCTGAGTTCACCGGTGTCAACCTTGTCCGCCGTAGACGGCGACGCGTGAGGAAGTGGTGCAGTCAAAGATTCGGCCGATTTGAAATCGAGCTCTCCGCCGTTCAAAAATTTGAACCGATCGTTGTAAGTATCTCGAAATCGCTCAAAATAATTTTTAGAAAATTTTCCGGGATTTTTAGGGCCCCGGAGGACGCCTCACGCGCCACACGCGCCGCCGCTGGGCGAGTGGCTGCTGGAAACCGGTTTAACCAGTTTTCAACCGGTTCTGACCGGTTCGAACCGGTTTGACCGGTCTGACCCGACCGACCGACCCGACCTGACCGTTGACCCGACCCGACCCGACCGGACCGTTGACTGTTGATCGTTGACTTTCTTTGACCAAAACTTAAAATGGCTTTGACCGAGCATTAAACGACCGTTAATCTTTTCCGAGTATACCTATCCTGATAGTTTTTCGACGTGCCAAATCCGTTTCCGCTGTCCGTTTTTCAAATTCGAACCCGAAGGACTCCAAATCGACGGTCAAAGTAGTTGACTTTGACTTTGACCAAGAATCTGAATTTTCGAAAAGTCATATTTTATGTTTTTCGACGTCCTGATTCTGATTCCGCAATTCGTTTGGCCAAATTCAAACTCGAAATACCCCAAATTGATAGTCAAACCCGAAAAATGCTTATATATTTAAGAAGTCTAGTTTTGAACAATTAAATAGGATTTGGGACTGATAGGTTATTATTGTTTGAAGGTACAAGAGACTCTCCGGATCGTTCGACAACTCGACCCAGCTCTTCTAGATCAGTTAAACCACGTGTGCCATTATTCACGCGTTCGAAAACGGTAGCAGCGTGGTGAAACCAACAATCAGTAGATTTGTTATTTGAACCTATTGTCGAGGTGTGTTACCTACTTATTACTGAACTGTTTTATTGGTTTTAATATATGGTACACCGAATTCATTGGTTATTGTTTTATGGATGCACCAATTTAATGTGACAATTTATGGAATATGGCTGCTATCTAATTTTTGTTTTGAAATGGTATATGATTACCATGTTTTTGGATTTATGGAATTTATGTCACGGTGCAATTGAATTTTGGAATTGAATTACGATGGAATAGCTCTGATCAAGCTAAATGGGCCTAATGTGACTCTTGAGGGCCCCAAGATGTTTCATTAGGTCGGCTTTCCCTTGCTGTGTGCTTTGGGTAAGCTATATGGACTTATTGACTTGGGCTTAAGGATACAAGCTTCAGAGCCTATCCTTAAGTCGACTTTCTTTTTGCTATGTGCATAAAGTAAGCTATATGGAAAATAATTTTGAGAACTACTGATGGTGTACCAGAAAAGGGTTTAAACTATGATTTTCAAAAGTTAAACTCTTTTACGAATTTGTGAGATTATTGGACTATGATTTGTACCTATTGACATTTTATGGAAATGTTCGGACACACTGAGCCTAGCTCACCTTTTGAAAATGTTTTCCCCCTTTCAGATACTGTTGGTTAGATACCTCGGTTCGAGCACTTGGAGGATCAACATATCTCTTGAAGTAAATCAGATTGTAATGTTTTTATCTTGCAAGTTGACTTTATTTTGGTGACATGAACCTTATTTTAAATATCGGATTTTATAATGATGACTCTTTTGCTAGTACTGCTCGTTTATTGTGATTTTGAATTTGAAGACATGTTTTAAATTATTATATTTATTGGTACTATTTTACGAGTTGGATTTTGATAGTATAATTTGTTTATAATTTCATGTTATTTATAATGTGATTTTATATTGATAGAATAACGATTTCGGAAAATGTCTTTAATAATCATAATGTGATCCACTAGACTTAGTCGAAACGCATAGGCCGGGTCTAGGGGGTTACAATGTGGACAACTAGAACATAACTTCTTAAACCGCTTCCAGTAGTCGTAAAGTGACTCTCCATCAAGCTGCTTAATTCCAAGTATTCTCCTTCGTAATTCACTTACTTTTGCCACAGGGAAAAACCTGTTAAGAAAAAGACGAGTCATATGAGCCCATTTAGTAATAGAATTAGGGGGAAGATAAAATAACCACTCTTTAGCCGAATTGACTAAGGAAAAAGGAAAAGCTCTAAGTTTGTTTGGTCATCGGTTACTCCTTGTGGTCTCATGTTGGTACAGACCATATGAAATTCCATGAGATGTTTGTGTGGATTCTCATTTGGCAATCTACGGAATATAGGGAGGAGATGAATAAGGTCGGTTTTCAACTGGTATAGAGTTTCGCATTGGGGAAAATCAATGCACAAAAGCCCTTGTTCAGTAGGTGCCGCAACTAATTCCCGGATAGTAGGATCGGTTATCAGATTTTTATCATCTGAATTTGATTCTTCTTCTGGATTTGTTTGTTGTCTCCTTCTTTCCCGAAGTGTCTATGTATGGAGTCTCCTAGCTTCGGCTTCGATCTCTGAGTCGTACTCCACTAATTCTCCTGGATTAGTCCTGGTCATAAATCAAAAGCAAACAAAAATTAGTAACTTTGGCGAAGTCCCCGGCAACGGTACCAATTTGACAATTGTCATTTTTTTATGTCAAATAAATTCCTTTTTCTCGGATAATAAATAAGGAAATTCGTAGTATAGGGAAGTAAGGGTCTAATTCACAGGGACTTAGAAATTCTTAATTTATGTCTTATTGGTTTACACCAGTCGTGAAAGTAGTAAATGGGAGGTTTTGTAAAAAGATATTTAATTAATAAAAGCGATTAAATAAAAAAAATTAAGTAAAAATAAGAGAATAAATATTTTGAATGAATATGGTAAAAATAGCCTCAAGTCTTGTTTTGACTCAATTTTCTTTTAATCATCGAATTAGATTTTCCCTTCAGGATTCACGTCGGTTACTTTATCTATAAAGGCAATCCCCGCGACTCTATCTTGTATACCTAATACCTAATCAATCTTTGATTTTGGCTTCGAAAATTAATCTAATCAATATCAATTGTCATAGATCAATTACCGTTTAAGTTCGTGCCGACCGACTCGGATTATTGCTTCAATAACCGTCAATTCCCTCTTAGCAAAGCCATCTCGCCAAGTGTGTTCCCAGGAAGTCGAATGTGCTTTCTATCAGCCGAATCTGCCTCCCACACATTTAATCGCAACAACCTATTGACCAAAGTCAATCTTTGATTTTGAAAACTGTTTTGATTTTGAAAAATAAGCGTAGAGATTGAGAGAGATATTCTGAAGATATTAAGGGCATGTTTCAATTTTCTTGTTGGAATTGAGTCATCGCTTCAGCTCTAGGCTTATGAAAAATTTAGCTAAGCATGACAAAAGTCATACTTAGCATATTAAAAACAAAACTTGAAAATAAAAGAAAAATGAAAAAACTTGAAAAGTAAAAAGAGAAAGCTTTAATAAAACCAGAGAGAAAAGAAGATTGTAATTTGAGTAATGAGTTTAGGCTTACCCCAAGTGGGTATTTATAGCCTCTCAAAAACCTAAGGATAAACGAGAAAATAAAATAAAATAATCCTAAAGATAATAGTTTTTTTTTTCTAAATTCAAACTTTAAACTAGTCTCTTAATGCAACTTTGCTCGTCCATCTTCTAGAAGGCATGCGGAGAAGTCTTCTAGAAACTGTCGCTGACTGGACCTTCTAGAAACTACCACGTCAGACCGTGTCATGCTCAGAGTCGTGCACATGTTTCCAGCCATGACCAAATAATAAAAAGTTCAGAATGCGCCCGTTTTGTCACTAATTCTAGAAAGTAAGGACCTGCACGAAAACAAGCATAACATTACCAAATCAGCAGTAATAATTCCACAAAATCGAAGAAATAACGGGCAAATATTAACGATTTCGAACAGTCATCAGAAATAGGATGAGAATATAGACGAAGTCTGATGCGGCGCGACAATGAAGTGCGATCATTATGAACTTGGATGTTGCAGGTAGAACATATATAGGAAACATGATTTCCCTAGTTTCCACATGCATTACAAAAGAATGGGTTATTTGGCCTTAATAACAAAATGAAAGGGTGATCATGATAAGATTTGTCTTCAATAATGGGTGGTGCCAAGCATGTTTGGGGTGTATGTAAAACTTGCAAGGGACAAAACCATAAAATAATCCCCACAGACTATTGCTTTGGCACAAGTTGAATTCAAGTAAGTCTTTATCGAGATCTTTAAAAACAAGCAAAAGTTGGCGTGTACGGTGGCAAGGATGATTAATTATTGAGGCTGGTGTTAAAGTTTGACTCGAATTCAAAATGACACAAATTAATTAATAAATAAATATTGGGAAAGTAGGAAACCCAGTTTGATTAAAAAGTAGAAAACTTTATTAAAATAGATTTCTACTTTATTTAGCTTTCCTTTGTAATCAAGTATCTATTCATATAAATAGATACTAAGGGTCAGAGTTAGATATTAAGTTTTTTCTCTTACTAAAATCTTGTATTTTCTTCCTGCATATTAGTGAAATTAATATCCCCTGCCTGTGGTTTTTCCCTTTTGGGTTTTCACGTAAATCCTAGTATTTTTTAGTTTTTCCTTTTCGATTGTGTTTATTTGATTGTCGATAATCATTGTTCTAATATTGTAACAAATTGGTATCAGAGCTTCGGGTTCAAATTATAGCAACAATGAAGTATGATATTTCGCTATTGAATTGGTATACCAAGTTCTCACTATGGCAGGTAAAGATTCGGGATGTTCTTGCACGTTAGATCTCGATGATGCAATAGAAGGATTTGATAAGAAGCCAGTAACACAATTGACGAATAAGGAAAAACATAAGGATCATAAAGCTCTTTCTCAGGTTCGTTTACACTTATCAAATCAAATTTTACAGGATGTGTTGAAAGAAAAAACAATTGCATTTTTGTGGGCGAAATTGGAACAACTTTGCATGTATAAATCATTGACCAACAAGTTACACCTAAAGCAACGTATTTATTCGCTCAAATTGACGAAAGGTTCGTATCCTGAAGAGTATCTAACCGCATTCAAGAAAATTGTCTCTGATCTAGAGACTTTATAAGTGAAGTATGATCAAGAAGACTTAGGATTGATCCTCCTATGTCCGTTGTCTCCTTCTTACTCGTCTTTCAGAGATACAATCTTTTACAGTCACGAAACACTCACTCTTGAATAAGTTTAAAATGGATTATACTCATTTGACAAGATGAAACGTCTTCTATCTGGTCTCAGGTAGATTATCTCGTGATGCATTTATCGATTAGCTCAGATAGTAGGAGAAAAAAATGAGTGTTCTTCTAATAATATTAGAAGGGGTATATCAAAATCTTCCAACTAAGGTAAAACTTATCATTATTGTAAAAAGAAAGGTCGTGTTAAATCTGAGTATTACAAGTTGCAAAATAAAATCAAAAGAGAATATGAAGAGTAGAACTTTGGGAAATCTGGTAAGGTCGGTATAGTAGAAGAGTACGATGACAGAGAACTCCTAGTTGCGGCTGACGACAACTTTATAACAAGTGATGACTGGATACTTGACTCTAGTAATAGTTTTCATATGAGTCCTAATCATGATTGATTTGCTACGTATGAAGTTGTATCTACAGGTGATGTATTTTTAGGAAATAATGTCCTTTGTAAAGTCGCAGATATTGGCACAATCAAGATTAAGATGTTCGATGGGATTGTTCTAACACTTGGTAATGTGAGGCATGTTCTGGATTTGAGTATAAATTTAATTTCGTTAGGTACTCTAGATTCAAAATGGTACAAATTCTCCAGTAAAAGTAGAGTTATGAAAATTTGCAAGAACTCTCTTGTTGTGTTGAAAGGGCAGAGAAGACTACCAAGTTTTATGTTCTAAAGGTTCAACAGTTTTAGATAATGTAGTTAGTGTTTCATCCAGCATGTCAAATAACGTTGTTGAACAAAATAACCGTGGGCAGAACGGTTATGTGAAGTAGAAAATAGTTCAATTTTGTGAACATAATGAATTTAAAGATAGAACTATCATTGATGATTAGGATCGTGATGTACATGATATTGCTCGTGGTGAAATTTTTGTGAGCAAAGTTGACACTTATGATAACTATGTCGATGTGAAGACTAAATCCAAGCCTAGAAAAAGCTTGGATTCGGTCAGTGTCTATTACTGAAGATTACCCATTTGAGGGGTGTTGTGGAAGAGGTGGAGAACTTGTTTGTTGAAGTGAAGAATTATTTTTTGTTGAGTTTGGGTGTCACATCGAATTTGGATGTTTTGTCTCGAAACCTTTGCACTTTTAGAATTCGCGTTAAGGTGGAGATTTGTTAGAGTTTGACTCGAATTCAAAGTGGCACAAATTAATTAATATATAAATATTAGTAAAGTCGGAAACTCAGTTTGATTAAAAGTAGAAAACTTTATTAAAGTAGATTTCTACTTTATTTAGTTTTCCTTTGTAATCAAGTATCTATCCCTATAAATAGATACTAAGGGTCAGGTTAAATATTACATTTTTTTTTCTTTCACCAAAATCCTCTTGTTTTTTTCCTTTATATTAGTGAAATTCTTCTCCTTTGCCTTTGGTTTTTCCCTTTTGGGTTTTCCATGTAAATCCCGGTGTTCTTTATTTTTCTTTTTCGATCGTGTTTATTTGTTTGACGATAATCATCGTTCCGATATTATAACATGTAGTTCAAGGCATTTTTTTATGGAAGAGCATTCTACCATCGCACTCAAAAGATTCAGTTTGATTAATGGAACCCAAAGGATGAGGATGGGCAACATGGAGGGTCTCAATCAAGTTTCCAGCATTGTCACGTGGAAGCAAAGCGCAATTAAAGTCAAGGTAAAATTCACAAGAAGAACAATGATAGAAGAATCCCTTAACCTTGTAGTCGCGGCAAAAGTTGCAACGAACGTCTCTTTTCTGATGTTCGGAAGCTGAAAGAAGAAGAAGAAGAGGGTGGCACCGGTGAGCAGGGTGATGAATCTCCGAGGGTGCCTCCGCACATTTCTTGTGGAGGCAAAATCATCACTCCCGGCAGCTGTAGTTCGAACCCAACACATTTTCCGCGGATAGTGATGACTCATGTGGTGAAGCTCCGTCATGTTCCTTTCTCTCTGCATCTCTCCAATGATCTAAAATTTTCTCACTTGTAGGCACCAAGTCAATGCTTGGTGGCCACAATAAATATATATATATATTAAACATCCTACATGGAAATGGAATCTTAATTGACTTAGTTTCACACAGGCAATTTGAATATTGAATGCAGCATAGAGCCATAGAGATTTGTGAAGAATATTTAATTTGTCGTTGCAGCTTCTGTGCTTCTCCTCTTCCTCCTTGACTAATTAATCTCTATAATTTATGTAATATAGAAATCTACATTTGTAAATTCAACATTTTAAAGGCAATTTAAATTTCACTATTTTGGAGTAGTATTTAGGGATGGGTATGGGTCGGGTCGGGTTTTTGGTCCACCCGACCCGACCCGAGAAGAAGGGGACATCCACCCGTAACCCGACCCGATCCGACGAAATTAATTTTTCACCCGACCCGACCCAATAGATAGTTTAAAAAATCCGACCCGACCCGAAATAAAAAAAATTATTTTTATTCAATAAAAATAGTGACTAAATTGAAATAAATAATATATGGATGGGTATTATTGTAATTATTTCTAAATCTATATGGTAAAAGTATATATTTTTTTCGGGTTGGGTCGGTCGGATTTTTTTCACCTAAACCCGAACCCGACCCGAACCTGATTTTTTTTTATAGAAAAATCCGACCCGATCGGATCGGGTCGAATCGGAACCCGTCGGGTTCGGGTTAGATGCCCATCCTAGTAGTATTACAAGGTATAAAAGATTAGGTCAAAATTCAGTACTAAATGAAGATTTATCGCCGTTACAGAGATTTTCGATCAATAAGAATCATGTAGCCTAACATGTTTTATGTTCATACACGTCAATACCTAATGTAATAGATTTAATTAAAAGTAATAAATCCTAGTAAAAAGAGACTCCTTGTTATAGTTCATATAAATAGATTATTAGATTTAGTCTTTAAGATTATGAGAGAATTGATTATTTTTTCGTAATCTCTTGTACAATTTCAATTATAGTTAATTTTTTCTCTTATGTTTATGATTTTCTCTAATCTATAGTTTTTTTTTATCTAAAATGTATGTTCATTTTATTTTTGTGTTCTTTTGATTTACTTTTTCTTATTATTTTCTTATTGAATTTGTATCGTAAATAAAATTTAACTCTTTATAATAAAAACAACTCATTTTTTTAATATTTCGTAAATGTTTTCATAAAAAATGTTATTACAACAAATATATTGTAAGACAAAACAATTCAAGTTGCAAAATCACTACTAATACCATAAAATGCACTACAAAGACGGTGAAACAAAAAAAAAAACCAAATTATTTCACTACCACTATCGTTGACTAGGTTGTATGCAGCTCCAATGAACAATATATTTACATCATTCCTCTTCACATTTAAGGGCTAGAACTTGGCAGGGATCATCACATTCATTGCATTCTGGGTAGTAATAAACCTTCCTGATAGAAGTGAGAGGATGTGTATAACCTCCTAAGATCATGTACCTAACATGTTTTATGTTCATACACGTCAATACCTAATGTATAGATTGAATTAAAAGTAATAAATCCTAGTAAAAAGAGACTCCTTGTTATAGTTCATATAAATAGATTATTAGATTTAGTCTTTAAGATTATGAGAGAATTGATTATTTTTTCGTAATCTCTTGTACAATTTCAATTATAGTTAATTTTTTCTCTTATGTTTATGATTTTCTCTAATCTATAGTTTTTTTTTTATCTAAAATGTATGTTCATTTTATTTTTGTGTTCTTTTGATTTACTTTTTCTTATTATTTTCTTATTGAATTTGTATCGTAAATAAAATTTAACTCTTTATAATAAAAACAACTCATTTTTTTAATATTTCGTAAATGTTTTCATAAAAAATGTTATTACAACAAATATATTGTAAGACAAAACAATTCAAGTTGCAAAATCACTACTAATA